GCTCCTCCATCACCCTCTTCTAGGAGACACTGCCATGCATCTCAGTGTCCTGGGACACTCACTTCTTTTAAGTTTCATCACTGGTGAAGAAAAAGAACTGTCATGATTGGATTAGCTCCACCATGATGATGACTCCATTTATATCAGGCTTACCATCAACAGGATTGGAGTTCTGACTTTAAGAAAGGGGAATCTAGTGGATGTGGAATAGGCAACACACTTATTCTATACCATACTCTAAAACCCACAAACACCTGGTTATAGTGGAGAAAGGCCTAGCCCTAGAGGAATAAATACCAGGTCCAAACTGTGGCTTTGAATGCGGGTGACTGTGCTGGCTAGGTTTTATTTTGTCAAATTGACACAAACTATGGTCATCTGGGAGGAAGGAGTCTTAATTGATAAAATGTCTCCATCAGCTTAGCCTGTAGGCAAATCTGTTGGCATTTTCTTGATTAATGGTTGATGTGGGAGGGCCCAGCCCACTGCAGGCCATGGCACTCTTGGGCAGGTGGTCCTAAGTTGTATAAGAAAGTAGACTGAACAAACCATAAAAGGGAGCCAGTAAGCAGCACTCCTCCATGGCCTTTGCATCAGCTCCTGCCTCCACGTTCCCCTGTCATGATGCACTGTAGGTTGTAAGATGAAATAAAGGCTTTCTACCTCAAGTTGCTTTTGTACATGAAAACTACGGCAATGACTAAATTCAGTATGTTTGGAACATGTAAGGGTGATTTTTCCTTTTCTTTCTAATGTTACATTTTTATATTCTACAGTAACTCAGCATTATTTTCATAATTAAGGAAAAGGCTTAAGAATAAAAACACTTATAAGCTCCATTACCTACCAGAGAAACCAAAGGACAAATATCTTAATTGCCAAAAATTGCTCTGAATCTCCTGAGAAATGAATATGAATGGAAAAGGAACTTGATACCCTTGGCAAGGCCCCTTGCTACCACCAATATCTGCTTGTGAAAGCAGGTTCTTGGCTCTTAGGCTCCCTTCATCAGTATCCTGGGAGACCGTGGAAAAGCCATAAGCTTAAGTGTTCAAGTTTGTAGCCACATGCTTGATAGAAATACCCTTAGAGAATAATTCTTGCTGTAATTTTTACTAAAAGTAATCAATTACCATTTCTCTGAACAGCAAAGCCCTAGATGGGTATATTACCAGAACAGAAGCATATGAGGCTAGATACCACAAAAATTCCTTGGAATTGTTTATTGGGGTTCCACTCCTGAACTCTGCCCTGAAATCCTAAACTCAGCCTGAGGAGGATCTTGTGATGTGTCAGGTTCCTTGTGTTGTGGAAGGGAGGTGGTAGGAAAGAGAGAGAACGTCCATGGGCTTCTACTATCACCATGGGTGTTTTGTTCATGAAATGACACTGAATCCCCTCAAGAGACAATAGGTGAGTATCTGTTGCCTTTATAAAGGATAATTCTGAAACAATGCCAAAATCTTGGTTCTGCAAGGCAAAGCACAGAATAAATACAAGGTATTGATCATTTCTTCACCAACTAAAACATATGATGTATTATCCAGAATATAGTAATACACCATCACTAATAGTAAAAACAATTTCATTTATTTAGTTTGAAATAACTTTTCAAAATTTGTTCTAGGAGCTTTACATAATTTATCATATTTAATCTTCACAAGCAGCTCTGTAGAAATGGAAACTATTACCAATATTTTACCAATGAAGAAAGAATTTATAATTTTTCAATATCACAGGTCAGGATGTAGCTAAACTAAGTTTTGCAATCATCCCAAATTCCAGGTTACATGCACTTCCTTCCTGCTGCACCATGTCAAACCATCTAGGGAAAGAGGCAGAGTGATATTCAGGTGCTGGAGCAGAAGGGAATTTCAAAGTGTGGAAAGAGTAAATTCATACAAAAGACCCAGATCATCGAAGCAATCTTGACAGAGAATAAAGCTGGAGACATCACGATATTTAATCTCAAAACACACCATGAGGCCATAGGACTCCCAAAAGCATGGAACTGGCATAAAAGCTGACTCAAAGATCAAAGAAACAGAATAAAGATACCAGAAACAAACCTATGCACCTATTCAACTGGTTTAGCAAAAACTGCTAAAAACGCCCTGGAGAAAAGTCACTCTCTTCAGTAAATGGGAAAACTGGCTACTCAATACACAGGATTAAAAATTGATTCCTATACAGAGAACAACATAAGGTGAATCAAACACCCAATATTATAAAATTACCTGGAGAAAACAGAAGAAATAGTTCAAGACATCAGTATAAGCAAGTATTTCTTAAGCAAATTCCAGAAGTACAGGAAACAAGCAAACAAAAATATAAGCCAACAGAATTTATTAAACTCTGTTGTGCACAGCAAAGAATGCAATCAGCTGAGATTAGAGTCAACCCATGTAATGAAAAAAATGTGTAAACTATTCTATTGCCTAATATCTGGAATATAAAAGGACACAAAGATCTTAGCAACATAATTTACAGGGGGGTGGTTTTAGTAGACATTCTTAAAAGAAGAAATACAAATGGTGGACAAGTTTATGAAAAATGCTCAAAATCATTACATGGCAGGAGCCACATGACTTCTTCGGGGGACAATGCCTGAGAATAGCACAGATGGCTCTTTTTGTGGCAAGGCCCCTGGAGCCCCTGACCCACTTGGAAAAGACCCGTGGACAGTTCGCTGCATGATTCTGAGCATGACCCCAGGCATATGTGTGCTACAGGCTCTCCTTGCTTTCACCACACTAGCCACACTGCTGGCCTGAATGAGTATCATGAAGTTTAACATTACATATTTGCACTACTGTTCTGGAAAGAATGAATTTAAGCCTAAGAGCTTGAAAGAAATGCTATAAAGTAGATGGTATCAGGAGTTATGGGGACAGTCTAGGAACAGGGAATAAAGCGGAATCACAGAAATCTACTGTTCCCTCATTTCTAATAGCTGGGCCAATACCCCAAGAAGTTTAGAGAGTAGACATAAGGACAAGGGACCGGCAAGGCCAACTCTTAAGAGTAAGTTTCCAAGTTATGTTGCCTATAGAATAAATGGGAAAACCTGGTATGGCCCCAGAAGGGATAGAGCAGTACAAAACATAGAATTGGATTGATTCAGCTCTAGCTGGTGAGTTGATCACGGGAACCCAGACTCTACCAGATGTAAATATTAACCACAGGAAACAAAACTATCCCTCACTCTGCATGACACTACCATTACCACATATGCTGCCAACTGGGCACACTGTTCTACCTGGAGGTGTGCCTGGTTAGAAACTTCCTTTTCTGCTCGGACAATAGATCCAGGCAGTGGCTACCCATGGGGGAGTTGGGAGACAGAGGGGCAAGAGGCAAGGAACTAACTGGCAATTGTTGTAATCATTTTTAGAAACTCAGGAAGTAAAAACTGGAGTCAAATTGTTCATACAAACCATTGAAACGGTACAACTAAAGATGACTCAAGCTATCCAGGGCCACTTGTTTGAACAAGAACATGTAGTCACAATCTATTCTTGCCACTGACTTCACACATCCAGCCCAGGTCATCGAACCCATCTGGGACAAGGCTGGTAAGCAATTACAAGTCAGAGAAATGCAAATTAAAACACAATGAGACATCAGTTCACCCCGCATGAAATGGCTGTTAACAGAAAAGACAAAACATGACATTTTCTGGACAAAAATGTGGAGAAAACGGAACAAACTTTTACAAAACACTACTGGTGGGGATGTACAGTCGTTCGCTATGGAACATCTTATGGAGGTTTGTTCCCCAAACAATTCCAAGCAGATCCACTAAATGATCCAGCTATCCCATTTGTAGGTATACATCCAAAGGAAATAAAATCAGTATATGAAAGAGATGTTACATGTATTTATTCCATCATTGGTCACAGCAGCCAAAATTCATACCACATTTGTCAACAAACAAATCAAGAAGATGAACTCTATTAGCACCATGTACTATGATTCAGCCATAAAAAAGAATTAACTCCAGTCATCACTGCAAAGTATATGGAGCTGGAAGCTGTTGCTCTAAAATATTATCATTGTTTTACTTTGTCAGACACAGGAAGAGGCATACTGCATGCTTACTCTTACACATAGTAACTAAAAAAAAAAAGTCTGTCTGAATATAAAATAATGATTACCACTGGTTACAAGTAGAGGAGAAAGGCTGAATAATAGGAAGCAAAATGATACTGGAAAGAGTGAGTGTTAGTACTATACAATACAATGCACTTGTTGACAAATATCTTGATTAGCTGGAAGAGATTAAGCCCAAGCTTTGGGATACAGTTCGGTCACAGAGTGTTTCCCCAACATCTATAAGGCCCTAGGTTCAATTCCAGTCCTACAAAATTTTGAAGTAAATATGAAACATTGAAAAGGAATTGGAAACACTAATTACTTTGACTTGATTTGAACATGCAGACGTGGATAATATTACCATACTGTATTCCATATAAAAACAACTTTAAAAGAAGAAATGTGAAAGACATTTAAATAAAATTAGTGTAGGAAAGGCAAGGAGGCCTGAGGCAGCCTACCATTGTATTCCCCAGAATTTAAAATAAATAAATAAAACAATCATGTTTCTCATAAGACCAATGTGTAAATTAGTTTAGGTTTGCCAACATCCCTAATAGTGATAAAATAATGGTACATACTTAAACACACATACTTAACACACACACACACACACACACACACACACACACACACACGAGCGTTAGGGACTTAGGACCATTATATTATCTGGAGATGGTGGGAGAGCAAGCTCCAGGTACTGGATTATGTTTTACACTTACAGTGAGGCTTTTACAGGAAGTCATTCCATCCCCTTCCCAGACATACCAACTACAGGAGCAAAGCCATGCCACCGGCATGCTGCCCGATGGCAGTTCAGGAATGAATATCTTAGACAGTGAAGCAGAGACAAAGCCACCGTTCAGGACCTATGACAATAGAGTTGGAAAGGGAAGCAAGCTGACCGTCGTGTTGAGGTGCCAAGGCGTCTCTGTTTGCACTCAAAATCTCTTTTCTATGGAATCCTGACTGTCTGTATGAGAACATCTCCTGGTTGCTTAGGGGGTTCTTCACCGATACAGATTGAATGCTTGATGTATGTCAGTCACACTCTGGCCCTGTGAAAAGAGAAGATTGTCAGACTAAGCTGTACCTCTACACCACATATAAACCTCCCTATTTCAGAAATACTAAAATATATTTAAGTTTGCATTACTCTGCAGATAAAGATGATCACAATTCCAAAAGACAGAAGTCACTTTCAACTTCTCTCACCTCCAACCCCAGCCAAGTAAACGCTACTGAAGGTGTTCTGCTACGACATGTAGCTGGAGAAGGTGACGATATATATAGAGAGACGTAAGACAAAAGATCATGAGGTCATGAATTCAAACAATGAAAGAAGGCGGGGAAGCAGGATAAGCCAGGCACAGTGGAACACACTTATAACCCCAGTATTCAGGTGTCTGAGGCAGGAGGATCATAAGTTTAAGGCCTACCTGGGAAACATAGTGAGTTCCAGGCCAGCCTGTACAAAGTCAATCGCACACAGTCTCAAAAAAAAAAAAGTAAAAATAAACAAAACAAACAAGCAAGCAAGCAAAACAAATGGAGATAATGCTGGAAGTTCTATTTGGATACGTTATTTGAATGACATATGACATCATGCAGAGGAACGGAGTGCATGGTGTTCTCCTAGAGCTGAGAGGGAGAACAAAATGATAGACCAGAAGTTTCATTTTCACACAGAAATACAAAAAGGTAACTATAAACCAGATACAATAAATTCACAGAACTTCTAGAAAACCATCAAAGTTCTGCAGGCATGAATTAAACAATCAAAAAGATGTGCTTTCCAACCAGGAAGAAATCAGTCGTCGAGTTATCTTTTCTGGCCCCCACCCCATCTGTGCACTATCATAGTACTGAATCAGCCTGGGAGAGTTAGCATCCCAGCTCTCTCCTTTGAAGCCAAAGGACTGCGTAGAGTGGACCCCCATCGGGATACGTTTTGCCTGACTCAGATCTTACACAAGCAGGTGGAAGTATAACAGTTATGTATGTATAACAGCCAGCAGACAATAGGGCACAGTTGCTGGAGCTAAGGTATTAGAGATGCAACACAATAGAGCATCGAAGACTGCACGGAAGGTCCAGAGTGAGGCGTGGAGGAAGAAAGATGGTTTAAACACAGCCACACAAATGAGGAAAGGGGAAAATGCACACGTCGACTTCAAAGGCAAGATGCGTGTCCAGGAAACCTTAGCAAAGCTTAAGCCCAGCCTGACGCCGATCCCTAGGCTCAGAACATGTCCAGCTAATGAATGAAGAACTGCTTCAGCGGCATAGCCAGACTTCCAAGACTGGAAGATCAGTTTTCTTAGCTCTGTTTGTTTTTATTTCGGTAGCAACAAAAATCACAAAGCATACAAAGAAACAAGGAAAGCACAGCCAATTAAAATGAATGAAACAAATTGGCAGAAAACGGCTCTACAGATGCACAGGCATAGAATATCCTAAAATATGTTCAAAATACGAAAGGCCAATGAACACACCACAAAGGGAAATCAGGAAAACTATGTCAAAATGAAAATAACAACATGAACTGAAGGGCAGAAGTCATAAAAAAGAACCAGGATATAAAATAGAGGGATTGAAACAGTTACGAGAACTTAGAGATAGAATATTTGAAATTTGTTGGGAGGCCTTGCTGGTCAGAGCTTGCAGTCTATCATGGCCTGGTAGCTTTTTCCAAAGTTCGGCAACATGGGGACATCCCACACACACACCAGCTAGACTTCCTGCTCTCTACCTGCCCTTATCTGGAGAATGTCCCTGGGCCTAGAGGACTGACCTTATCTGAAAGCTGTGTCTAAGCCTGGATGCCTGATTTATCTTTAGCATGACCTTTGGCACAGTTCCCTGCTAAAAAGCCTTCCCTGCTGCTGTACATATGGTAGCTAAGACTTGTACTAAGAGCTCTGCTATAGGACCCTGCTACCACATACGAAGCCATATGATAGGAGCGAGCCACTTTGTACAAATTGGGGTTTGTGCCCAGGTTCCCTAATCCTATATATTTCCTATAGTCTGGAATAAAGCTGAGCTGATTCACTGAAGTGATCTCCCAGAGCACTGTCTCCACCATAGCCACGGCCATCTGAACCCTGTTCCCACTTCTGCCCCCTCCCCACCACCATCATGGACCAACGCACCAATGATCCCTAGGAAGAAGAACCACAGAAATTAGTCTGGCGAAACAGAGAAAAGAAGAAAGAAAACTGAACAGAGCCTATGGGACATAAAGAACACTGTCAATCACACTACTATACATGCTATACTATACTATACATGAGACTGTGACAGTCTCAGTGGAAGAGATAGGTAAAGGCAGGAGAAATTATTTTTTAAAATAATGGTGTAAAATTTCTCAAACTTTAAGCAATATTTTAATTAAAAAAACCAAGAGTTCCTATAAACTCCAAGTGGGCTATACTAGAGACACTGGCAACCAGTCCCATTAAAGCAAACTGTTGAAAATCCATAGAAAGAGAACATTAAATGGTGAGCTAAAAAGCAATTCACCAGTGTCCAAGTATGCTGGTGCTTGCCTGTAACCACAGCCCTTGGGAAGCAGGGTCAGCAAGATTAGGACTTCAAGATCAGCCTGAGCTACAGAGTAACTTCTAGGCCAGCCTGGGCCTCATGAGACCTTATTTTAAAAACAAACGGAGATGAAGAGATGGCTTCCGGTTAAGAGCATTTGCTGCTCATCCAAAAGACCCAGGTTCAGTTCCCAGCACCCACATGGTGGCTCACAACCACCCACAACTCTAGTTTCAGGGGATCCAGTGTCTTCTTCTGATTCTGTGGGCACCAGGCACACATTTAGTTCATGGATTTACATGCAGGCAAAATGCTCATACACATAAAATAGAATAAATAAAACTAAAATGAGCAAACAAACAAATTAACAGGTAATTCTTCACAAATAATGGATTCACAATAATTTATCAATACATTTCTCATCGTAGCCTTGGAAGCCAGGAGGCAGATAAATGATATTTTGTTGTTATTTTTTTTTTCTAATTTTTGGGTTATTGTTACTTTCTGTTTTGTCTTGGTTTGGGGGGAGGGAGTTAGAGATGATATATTTAAACCTATTCTCTGAGAATTCCATGTACAACAAAGCAATTGTGTTTTATTAAACTGTAATGGGGTACAAAAAAAAAAAAAATAAAGGAGGGTTCTAATGAGATGTCTCAGAGGGAAAGGCGTTGGTGCCGAGGCAGACAATTAAGTTAGATTTCAGGAACCCATATGGTAGAAGGAAGGAAGCAACTCCTTCAAGCTGTCTTCCGACTTACACATAAATAATGCACACAAACACTCATTCAGCTGGGGATGCAGCTCCGTGGTAGAGCATTTGCCTGGTGTGTGCAAGGTTCTGGGCTCAACTGCCAGCACTTCACAACAAAAATCGAGGAGTCATTCAAAACCGATCAGCATGTAGGAGCTGGAACATGAAGCATCCAAAAGAAGACACAGGATGAAATAAAACACAGAATGAAAACTTCTTGATGTTGAATATGGCAGCGTTCTAGAATGTAATCCAAAAAGTACAGCTACACTAGTCAACAAGTGAAAACAGAGTGTACCTCATCAAAATGAAAAACTTTGCCCACCAATAGATAGGAAAAGGAAAAGGAAGAGGAAACCTAAGAAATGGAGGGAATATTAAAATTATGTATTTGCTAACAGATTGGTGATCAAAGTACACACTCATACACACACACACACACACACACACACACACACACACTACACACCATACTTTATGAAGCAGACAAATAACTCAAATGGACATTTCTCCAAAGAAGATATACAAAGAACTAATAATCACCTGAGAAAAAGCTCAACATTACTAATCCTTAGAGAAATAATGTGTAAAATTACATGAGGTAACACTTTAATAACGAGAGTTACTGTTGACAAAGTTTGATATAAAGTTCTGGATAGTTGCGATGGTTGTACACAATACGAATATACTTAATGACCCTATATTGTTCACTCTAAAGAGGTTAAAAGTATTAATACAAAATTATATCCTTTTCTACAATAAACAGTGAAGATTGAAATGATCTTAAGGAAAATTAATTACCTACCAAAGCATCTTTCAAAACTACTTAGGGAAACATTAATAACAAAAAAAAAAGAGTTGAGACATAATACAGAAAATGTCAAGCATCCAGTCAAAATTTCCTAGACTTGCAATGACTATGTGAAAATACAATCTATCACTTGGGGACAAACAAATCCAGAAATAATGATTATTATATAATGAGCAGACTAAGGCTTTAAAAAATACTGTTAAATTTTTGCTCAAGGATTTTAAAAAAAAAATTAAGAATTTAAAGAAGAAAGAAATCAGGTGCAAAAAAAGAGCCAAATGGAACACTTACAGATAAAAAAGACACAGAAATTCTGAAATGAAAAATTCACTAGATTGGGCAAAATGTAGTTTAGACATAGCAGAATTAAAGATGGATGAACTTTAAGACATCCACAGAAGGACTGTTCAAAATGATGAACAGAAAAGCTCACACAGAAAGTGAACAGAGCCACAGTGGCCCATGTGACAGTCACAAGTGACTTAATATGTATTCACTGGAGCCCCAAAATGTGAGAGACTAATTCAACTTTTCCACCTAAAATAAATTAAACCGGGCGGTGGTGGCACATGCCTTTAATCCCAGCACTCGGGAGGCAGAGCCAGGTGGATCTCTGTGAGTTCCAGGCCGGCCTGGGCTACCAAGTGAGTTCCAGGAAAGGCGCAAAGCAACACAGAGAAACCCTGTCTCGAAAAATCAAAAATAAATAAATAAATTAATTAATTAAACCTATAAAGTCATAGACCCAAACAGCTTGAAAAAAAATCCCTAGAATAATTACCATTTTAAAACTTGCTCCCAAAGCACTACAATTATTGAAAACCAAAATTAGCTCTTAAAAGCATCCAGTGAAGAAGAGGGTGGAAAATAAAAGATTATGATGAAAAATCACTAGTCACCTCTCAACAGAAATGCCACAATCCAGAAGACAACATGACTGCATTTAG